TACTGATCTCTTGACACTGATAGGTGATCGTGGAATTGTTTCCGTTCCAACCTCCTCTAGCTCTTAGGGCTTTGATTGTCCTGGGTCGTGGAAGGCGAGTTGTGATTTCTAGTCCGTGACGTCATAAATAGACTGGATATTAATCAACGAACCAATATATAATAAAGAGCATCGCTTGACTTTCCATTTCATAACTGTCTTCTCAACGCGCTTACGTGACCTCCACGCTCTTGATCGTGCCTACGTGACTTTTGGGAGGACACACAAACGGGCATACAAACAGACGCTCAAAGTTACCGCTCAATATATACCAGTCGGGCTGCCCGGCCAACGCCGGGCTTCCCTCCTTCTTATGATGTCGCCCGGCTTCGCCGGGCGGTCTTCCTCATGTAAGTGCTATGCGTAAATAACTCTTCGGATTCTCATTTTTCCTTGAAAGCTCTACACCCTCAGGATTAGCTCCGAATTGGGAGCGATTGTTTCTGTAAGCCATCGTCGCTAGGTCCGGTATGAACATCGTATAATATCACAAAGGCGATTATTCTGAGAAAAATAGGATATTTCGGCTAAGGAAGCGTACCTCCGTGAAATTTTCGTGCAATTGGAATACTTTGAATGCCCCATGGCCAAATTGTTTATTTTCGCGCTAACCCCGCCCCTGTGGGCGGGGTCTGGTCCTGTTACCTACAGTGAGTGTTCCCACCCCATTCCCATAACTCCTACCAAAGTTGAACGCTCTAGGTGCACGGGAGCAGAGGTTATGAATTCTTGCTCAAACTCCGCCCATTGTGGGCGTAGTCTGGTCCGGCCACCCANAACTCCGCCCATTGTGGGCGTGGTCTGGTCCGGCCACCCATCATTAGTGTTCCCACCCTGTTCCCATAACTCCCACCGAATGTGAACGTCGTAGGATCACGGGGACAGGAGTTGTGAATTTTTAGCACAAACCCCGCCCATTGTGGGCGGAGTCTGACCCTGCCACCTACCATAAGTGTTCTGATCCTGCCGCCCGTACTCCTACCGAGTTTGAGTGCTCTAGGATCACGGGGACATGAGTTCTGAATTTTATTTCTCACAAACCCCGCCCCCTTTGGGCGGGGTCCTGCCCTGCCACCCACTGAAAGTGTTCCCACCCTGCCGCCTACCAAGTTTGAACGCTTCCGGTCCACGGGGACAGGAGTTATGAATTTCCGGTCAGACACACACACATACACACACATACACAAACATACCAACAGAGACACTTAGCCGATTATATATGTAAGTAGGATGGAGGACAGCGTACCATACTGCTTTCGCGCTGGTTGAGGGATGTGCCCTTCAAAATCGACGCACCGACGTGACTCGCGGCTTACAACACTCGGACACACAGAGGGAATTTCAGAAGGAGTTGCAAGGTAGTGCTGTTCGAACTTCATTCAAACTTTAGAGTGATCATAGACCAAAACCCGGTCATGCAGAGGCGAAGGGGCGTGCCGCGCCATGTGCAGCACGGGGTACGCAATGGGTTTAGCTTTACATCGCTGCCTCGGGCTGGTTGAAGGTGAACGCGTTAGACTGTGTGAACAATGCCGCACTGTAGATTGTGAACTCAAACACATCGACGCGAGATGTAGCCAAACTCTCTACTATCCAACATAGGATGACTTGTTTTCCTCCTCTGCAAGCTTGTCATTTTTATTACCACCGTAACACTTTGCCATCACATGACCATTTTTGATGTATTTAATATTTTATGATAAAGTTGAGGATTATTTGTTCAGAATATAGGAGATAACGTTTTACAAAAGTTGCAAAATTGATTACACGATTCTCAATCGATTGCTGAGTTTACGAATTGTTCTCTCCAGGGAAATAAACTACAAGATCTACGAAGTATAAGAGGAAAGCTGCGAAATTGGTTGCAATATTAACGAAAAAAATCGGAGGATTACTAAACTGTTTGCAAGGCTTAAGAGATCGAATTTATGTTTGTAAACTGGAGGAAAACTCTGCAAATGGACAAATACAGCGCTTTGGATGAACTGTCGTCTACATGGGGCCAGATGTTCAGAGCCTCAATTTGTAGCGCCGACTGAAGCGCCCAGTCGCATACTTCACCAAATGGGGTGTATTACAGCTTCCCAACAACTCAAAGACATCGCAGCCTACTTGCGCCACCTCCATCAAGCAATGAGCGGAAGAAACCTCACCTTGAAGCGAAAGCGTAGGAGGGCGCAAGGTCATATCCGTTGTTAGTGATGTTTTCCTTTCACTCCCTCATCTTCATTGAGAAATCAGTTCATGCAAGGCCCGTTGTATCCCAAATGACGGTGCCTTATTCATTTCTAAAGACTGTTAGGTCACGTTGTTAAGGTCACTGATGTCGTTAGAGCTGAGGAATGTAGTTGTGTGGGAGATTATGTGTTTAGGGCTCCGAAAAGGTTGCGATTGGTCAAATATGCTGAGCGAGTGAACTCTCGGAACAGTCTTCGAATTACTCAAACAGGCAAATTTGCATCACTTGCTTTTTTTTACAGTAAATCGATTCAAAAATAGGTCTCGTTAATGTTGCATGTGTCGATAGACTGAGCTTGTCGAGCTTTACAAGATGATGATTCAAACTTGAAAGAAACAAAAATTTGAAAGATAAAGTTTCCAGCGTAAACCGAGCCCTTTCTTCGATATCGCCTCCATTTAGAATCGTATTCGCCTAGTTGTATTCGTACATGGTCGATACAATGAATTGCCTAGGCCAGCCGAATCACTGCTTTGGTCCCCCCAGGCAAATGTGGTGCTAATTCACCGACCCTGTAGTGTAAGAAAGTTCGGTGATTCTGTGCAAGCAATGGCCGGGGACCGAATCCTCAGACCATACGAGAGTATATTGCGCCAATTGTGACTACACTGCATCCTCCCCTGGAAAGCACCTTGGAAGGAACGCATACTATACTTGTATAGTATGCGTTCCTTGTATACTTTATTGCTATCTTTTTGGAGTAATTGGAGTTTACCTTCAATCATTCCAAAAAGAGCAATAAAATACAAGTATAGTATGTGCATACAAGTATATTTTGCGTTCCTTCCAAGGTGCTTTCCAGGGGAGGATGCAGTGTAGTGGCAAGTGGCGCATACTCTCGTATGATCTGAGGATTCGGTCATCGGCTATGCTTGCACAGAATCACCAAAGAATCGCCCAATCACCCTTATGTATCGTTTTCCCCAGTTCACTCAGGAATATGCGCTTACTACTCCGATCTGGTTCGTTCGTAATCTCACTCAGATATCATTGGAACATACCCGTTTTATCTCTGTAGATAAAACCTTACCACTTTGTCCTAAGTGGTAAGAGGACGGACCACTGCGCGACCTAGCTCACTAATCCCAGCGTTTAGTTGGTGAGATTTTGTAGCCAATTCGATTGCAATTAAGCGTCGCTATGTTGCGTGGCCTTGAACATAATGCGCAGCACACTCTCGTAGAAACCCGGTTACCCGGCTGTAATGCATACAGTTCGATTCTGCGAAACAAAGTTATTCAATGATTCTTAGATTACCTGCCAAAGAGATCGTGATTGTGTTTCTTCTCCCGCTCTTTGCTCATTTCATTGCCACTGGCTTTTCTCAAATGTCCTAAACTTTAGAATATTAATCACGCATCGGTGCAGTGAGGGGGGGGGGGGCGACACCGCCACTTAAATCAAGTTTTTTGGTATTATTGCTGTTAATAGCTCTTATGGTTACCTAGTGCAGCTAGATGTAGGGTCGTGGTCTGAAGTCGTGGTGATCTTGAACCGTGGGATACGTCATAAAGTCAGATTCCTTCCGAAAACTCATGTGGTTCGATTTTTCAGAATGTTTTGTTAAACCCCAATCCTCACTATTTATCGCACTCGCGTCTGTCTGCCTGTCAGTCACAAAATTCGATATTATCTGATAGAGCAGCTGAAGAAGTAAAGTCAAGTTTGGGATAGGTTGCCATAGGGCAAGACCAGTCTCCAAACTTCTTAATCTACACAGCACAGGCAACTAAACAGCCCGAGGGAAAATAAAAGAAAAACAAATGTGAGGAATGGGCCAACAGTGAACCGAATGAGCCAACCTCGCGAGGGGCTGTGCTTTTAATATAAATCTGTAACTCAAGTCCATCCACCTGAAGGACAGCTCAAGGGGGTTAGAACCCACCGCAAAATTCATAACTGTTCTTTGTTCGACGCGTTCTTCGTCGGGATGCACACGTTAGTTTAACTAACAAGGAAGGCCTTTCAAGGCGTGGGACGCTTTTTGAAAATGGTTTTTTTGCATGGTATAGGGGCATGAGCACTGAGTATAGAACCATGGTCCACTTCCGCTGAATGGCCTTCTGCATGCCAAAAAAGGGTAAAATGGTTTTGTCAGAAATCGCCGTTTTAACCTACTAAGCGTCGCTTGTTTCATTCATGGCGTCAACGGTCCGCATAGTATAAGGTACCAGTGGACTCTGCATTGAAAATAACGTGAACATTAGCCAAAAAAAGGAGCCACATGTTAAAAAGCGCGAGGAAGTTTCATATGTGCTCTCCACGGTTTGGCTGCTGGCAGCGATGAATGGTGTAGTGGATAGCGATGTGGAATTCGAATTGGTACGACTAGATTGGGTTGGTGATCGGATTCCCGGAGCTTTGCCGTTTTTGCATTTTATGCTGTCACCTCCAGATTGGCTCCATATTGCACCAGGGCCAAAGCAATGAGCCAGAGAAGTGGAGATGGACGACTACCTAGTCGTATTCGATCACCAGGCATACTTGGTACCAGCGCCACTGCACGCACAATGCATTCCTCCGCATCTCGCTCACTCCTACGACTGATACCAAAAGGGTCTGTTAAGCTAAAATCGGTGGCCTGTATGCCTGTACATTGACCTTCAACGTTATACACTACACCGAAACCTGTGTATAGCCGAATATCCGAGCAACAGTGGAGCATAAATGGCTACTGTGCTAGGATTTCGCAGAGCAACTACTCCGTCGTTTTGCTTCTCCTCTATTGATGTTTTTTTCGTGGGAGACAACGCGAGATCTCCAAATCAAATCGGAAAATTCCCGTTATCGATTCTTCTGATGAAAGCGTCGAAGACATGCGAGACAGCGTTGGACTGCTCATTGGTTCCGGTCCCGACGATGATCCCGAGGTGTCTTGAGAGCGAACGACATCCGCAAATGATATTCTGTTCCGCACAGGTTTCGGTGTAGGAGGTCGTGTTGGCCCGGCGTTGACGTTTTTACTCGGTGCCATCTTTCGAGATGGACAGCGTTTCATCTAGCGACTTCTCGGTTGTGCCAGAGGACTCGGCCATGGGCCGTAGAAGGCAGCACCTTGTTCGTCTTTTGATGCATCACGCGGTACAGCTACGCCCCATCAATCCGGCTCTGTTAGACCGGCCGGCCAGATCTGGCTCATTGCTTTGACCCTGGTGCAATATGGAGCCAATCTAGAGGTGACAGCATAAAATGCAAAAACGGCAAAGCTCCGGGAATCCGATCACCAACCCAATCTATTCGTACCAATTCGATGTCCACATCGCTATCCGCCACACCATCCACCGCTGCCAGCAGCTAAACCGTGGAGAGCACATATGAAACTTCCTTGCACTTTTTAATATGTGGCTCCCTTTTTCGGCTACTGTTCACGTTATTTTCGTCGCGTAGTCCACTGGCGCCTTCTACTGTGCGGACAGTTGACGCCATGAATGAAACAAGCGATGCTTAGTGGGTTAAAACGGCGAAAATTTCCTGACAAAATCATTTTCGTCCATTTTCGGCACTCAGAAGGCGATTTAGCGGAAATGGACCATAAATCTATACTCAGTGCTCATACCCCTATACCATGCGAAAAACCACTTTCAAAAAGCGTCCCATCCCCTGAAAGACCTTCCTTGTAAGCACTGAGCTGAACATTGGCCAAGCTTTCGTAAAATGAGAGAGTGAATCCTTTTTACAGTGGCATTGTATAATTGACCAGTGAGGAAGTGTTATTGGCTTGTAGTCTTTCCAAGGAATGTGTAACGGATGCATATGAAATAGGTTATGTCGATGTTTTGAAGAAGAGTTCACGTTTAAGGATTACATAATAGTAGTGTACAGGACGCCATCATGTGCTGTCATAAATACTAAGTAAATCACCGCCACACATGCTGAATCGCAGCTATTGTGGAATCCATAGGCAAGTCTCACAAAATCTAAGGAATTTTATCAACAATGCCAAAGCGCTCAGAAGTAGCATTAGGAATACTATAAAACGCAGTCCCATAACTGAGGAACACTGCAAAGTTGCGCTTAAACTTTACCCTTCAAGATTAGGAGATGAACGATTAAGCTTCCCTATACTGTAGAGATGTATCTGTGAGGCTTGGATTCTACGATGAGTTCATATGCACTAGTATAATACATGACAGCAAAAACACACCTGCCTCAACTGTACAGGGTGCACCATGAATATAGTAGCAAAAGAATTGGGCTACAGAAGCCAAAGTTCATTTTGGTATATGGTGAATTCGTGTGAGTTATTTACTATGCATCGCATCTACAAAACGAATACACGGTGATCCTTACTATATATAAAGCGCTCGCGTCTGTCTGTCCGTCTGTCTGTTTGTACGAAAATTCGATATCAACTGATAAAGTACTTCCAGAAATTTTAAGCTTACGGATGAGCGGTCGTGGACATACAATATAGGCGTAATTATGCATAGCCCAACTGGTTATACAATAAGAGAAACCAACTAATACAAATATACCAGTGATACTCTCATCGCGACTATAGCATTCAGAGATAATAAGCTCACATTTCATTGATACCGAAGGTGAGGTTCCCATTAATGGAGGGTTACACAGTGGGTCTGTTCCGTAGAACGGGTACCGCTACACCACTGTCCTTATATAACGTCTTCTGTACTAAATATAGCTCAAAGACGCTTCAGCTACTCATCGACGGCGGCACACAGAGTTTCTTGAGAAATTCCAGCCCGAGCTTTTTTCAATGATTTCTGCAACACTGATGCGATTGGGAGCGCAGGCTCTCCTCCCCGGTATGGACTATATCCAGCAACCCATCACATTGTGGCCCGGAAAATTCGTAGGAGGATTGGAAGCTGGGATAAAGTCGCGAACATTTCCTCAGCACCAGTCTTGATCTTTTCTCATTCGTTAGCAAGTGCGCCGTAGTTTTCAAACTGGATCCCTAGAAAAATATTCGACCCTCTGCTGCATCCTTCCAAAAACACCCTTCTTCAAGAGGTTCGGAATACTTTTTGTACTCGTTTCGACCAAAATTTGCGATATCGCTCTGATCGTAGAAATTCTAGCCCAAGCCATAATGAAAGAGAAGAAATAGCTACGTGAGGCCATCTAAACTTCTGCTTAAGCACTCGTAATGTGGAATATACGTATACTCTGGTATCTCGACATTTCTCCACGCTGAACATCCTTTAATCAGTAAGAAGTGTGTCGAAGCGTGTACCGCGCGCAAGAGGCGCACGGCATTCATTTTTACTCCAAATTCTTCTCATCAAGAAGCTTATAAGGCTATCGAATTCTATCCGGATAAAGTTGTATTTACTCGGAATAGACTCTTCCCATCGGAGTAGAACATACAAATGGATCAGCAGCCATTTTTCTCGTGTTTTTGCAGGTTCCGCGGCGTACTCCTTCTCAAGCAATTGTATTCGGGAAAGGGTTGTATGTTGGACAAAACGACCGTTTTGAGATTTGTCATTGACCTGTCTACGCATCGCGAGACAGTCATGTGGGCAATGGTAAAAAGGCGGAACGGTTCTTGGATATCTGCAAAACACTACCTTCTTTTGAAATGTGACGAATTGAAAGCACCAAAGTAGATATGTGGGCTAAGGTATCCTTACTATATATAATCCACAAGTTTGGTGTGTCAGTATGTATGTATGTATGTATGTATGTATGTATGTATGTATGTATGTATGT